TTTTTTTAATGGAAGCATATACCCAGGAAAGCTATGAGTCTCAATACACTTTTAACTGACTCCCTTCAACAACTTAAAACTGTCTCTAAAACGGCATGGTCTCACTTACCTCCCCTTCCGAGCAAACTCTATGGACTTAATAGCCGTGGTATTACTGGTTCCTGTTGTTACTCGGAAGGAAGCGACAAGATCCTGAGAGTCTGTTTTCAGAACCAAAATCTAAAGTTTAAAGGAGAAAAAAATAATAAGTATTCTGAAGACTTAATCTAATCTGATTTCTGTCTCTAAAATTGGGCAGATTGAAACATAAGCACCCCTAGTTCCACTTATTCAATCCAATTAACTAGTTTTGCTTCTTACATCTTAGGAGAAAGGAGAGTGTCTTATTCAAGTCATGAAATGTAACGTGTACAGTATGTTCTTTTTTAATACCGCATATCCATTAAACCCGCCTACTGCCACTGAGTCCATTTTGACTCACATGACCCGCGACGGGGTTTCTGAGACTGCACAGCTTTCTGAGAACGGGCAACCTGGTTGTTCTCCTTGGAGCTGCTGATGGGTTTGAACCACCATCTTCAAGGTTAGCAGCCTGATGCTTAGCGCAGCGCCACCTGAGTGTACCTCAGGATGGAATTTGAGGTTCATGATTAGGCGGGCATGGATTTTTGAGGAAAGGGTAAGGAGAACAATGACTATGTCGGGACCTGTTTTTAGAGTCATCCAGCGGTGGAAACACAGAGTAGAACAGTCATCGAGTTATATGCCATGAGATTATGCCAGCCCAGGACCCAGTTCAAAAACACCAAGGTACAGAATGGAATTACACACTGGCAAGGGGCCCGGCAGCTCTCCAACTAGCCTGACTGATTCATTTGTTGTTGTTTTTTCATTTGTTTTTTTGAGTAAGAACATCACTGTATTTTCTTACGGAGAGTTTTTCTATTGATGAACACTTTTTCAAACTAGAAAGAGAAGACAAAGTTTAGAACTGGACTACTTGGCCCTTCCTCATCTCATCATCTCCAGTTCAAGATGCTTGGTCTCTCCTTGGCCAGCATCCTCCTGGACCTGCAGTTAGACTCAACACATCCAAGCCTCAGCACAGTATTCTTTGTGGTTTTAGACTCTAGGAAAATTGGCTTTGTCTGCCCACCAAAGCCACTCTGCTTTTCCGATC